AGGAGTTCGAGACCTGCCTGATCAACATGGTGAAACCCTGTTTCTACTAAAAATACAAAAATTAGCCTGGCCTAGTGGCATGTGCCTTTAATCCCAGCTACTCAGGAGGTTGAGACAGGAGAATTGTTTGAGCTCGGGAGGAGGAGGTTGCAGTGAGCCGAGATTCCACTGCACTCCAGCCTGGGCAACAGAGCAAGTCTCCATCTCCAAAAAAAAAAAAGAATGAATTACATTTTGTAAGGTTATTGCTGTCATAGATAGTGATTTCTTTGATGATCTGATGGGCAAAGTACCTTGAAAGTCTTCTGAAATGGATTAACAACTCTAGGTGCCATCAAAAACCTTACTGATTCATGGGGAGAGGTCAAAATATCAAAATTAGCAGAAGTTTGCAAGAAGTTGATTTCAACCCTCATGGATGACATTGATAGGTTCAAGACTTCAGTGGAAAGAGTAACTGCAGATGTGGTGGCAATAGGAAGAGCAGTAAAATTAGAAGTGGAGCATGAAGATGCGACTGATTGCTGCAATCTCATAATAAAACAGAAAGGGATATGGTGTTGCTTCTTAAGAATGAGCAAAAAATGTGGTTTCCTGAGATAGAGCTGCTTATGGTAAAGATGCTATGAACATTTTTGAAATAACAACAGAAGATATAGAATATTACACAAATGTAGTTGATAAAGCAATGGCAGAATTTGAGAGTATTGACTCTAATTTTGAAAGAAATTCTACTTTGAGTAAAATGCTGTGAAACAGTGTCATACGCTACAGAGTCATCTTTAATGAAAGGCAGAGTCAATCAATGTAGCAAACTTTATCATTGTCTTATTTTAAGAAATTGCCACAACCACTCAATCTTCAGCCACTACACCCTGATCAGTCAGCAGCCATCAACATGAAGGCAAGACTCTCTACTAGCAAAAGATTATGACTTGCTGAAGCTCAGATAATAGTTAGCATTTTTTGCAATAAAGGATTTTTTAATTCAGGTATGCACAATGTTTTTTAAACAATACTACTGCACATTTACTAGATTACAGTACACTATAAACATAATTTTTTATATGCAAAACTTTTACATGCACCAAAAAATTTGTATGATTTGCTTTATTGTGATGTTCGCTTTATGGCAGTGGTCTGGAACTAAACCCACAACATCTCTGCAGTCTGCCAATATTCCAACAATTTGTGGAATTTGAATCTGAAAGGAATGGGTGTCATTATCCTGTCTGATATTTCCAGGCAAAGATCCACAAATGAGTGAGGCAAACTGTACTGCTCTGTGACTATTCTTCCCTCTGACTAGCCCCCTTAGAAATTTACAATTCAGTCACTTGTATTCTGTTTTTCTCACATTCTCACTCGACTTGGAATTTTGGTAAGAGATCTAGTTTATGAAGACACACTATTGTTCAGATTGAGAAACACGAATTTCACTTTGTAGGTGAGGATACCATATCTCAAAATATTTAGCTGACATGACCAAGTTCATGCTGTTAGTGGGTAAGCAAGTGGCTAAAACCACACTCACGTCTCCGCATGTCTTTTCATGCCAGTAATCTACTCTCTATCATACGTTTGATATCCAAGTATTATGACAAATTGTACTTCAAACCCTTTGGGTTTCCTAAGGAAAGTATCAGATGAGGTTAAGAATTACCAAGTATTTTGCTTTTGTAAATTTTCAAGGCGTAAAGCACTATCTGTAGGGATATGCTATACCTACATGAAATTTCATGCTGGCAATCATATATTTGAGGTTAGGTAATTCTAAGACTAAGTCTAGTTGCTTTTTCTGTTTGTTTTTGAGACAGGATGGAATGCCATGGCACAATCATGGCTCATTGCAGCCTTGACCTCCCAGACTTAAGCGATCCTCCTACCTCAGCCTCGCGAGTAGCTCGGACTACAGGCACCAGCCACCACACTTTGCTTTTTTTTTAAAGACAGGATTTCGCCATGTTGCGCAGGCTGGACTGAACTCCTGGGCTCAAGTGACCTGCCTGCCTCAGTCTCCCTAGGTGTTAGGATTATAGGCATGAGCCACTGTGCCCAGCAGACTCAGTCATTTCTTCCCCTGAATTCACTGTATGAGATTCTGAACTACCAGTAAATATTTAACAAGATATTTTTGATTCTAGAAGTATCTATTAATTTAGTTAACAACTCTTCATTCAACAACTACTATATCCTAGTTACTGCCTGCCATAGCCTGGGTTCTTCAGAAGACAGAGCCTGAGACAATGGCTTAATGTGCTCCCTTTCTTATGAAGTACAATCCTAGGAAAGCAAAAGTGAGAGAAAAATAAGGGTAAAGAAGAAGAATCCATATTAGGGTTTCTTACAGAGCTAGTTATTATAACTGATCTTGAATAACCGCTTTCCAAGAAATTCCTTAAATGGATGTGGCTAGGAATAGTAACATCTAGAAGAAGAAAGAAGACGACTTTATCCATTGGCTCAGGTCTTCCATTGGACAAAAGTTGGCCACACAGAGTGCTAATTATCCTGCATTTTTGGATATGTATCAGCCTCAGTAATGAAAACTTGGTGAAGGATAGGTATGAAGTGAGGTTGTGCCTCTGCAATGCCTGGAAGAGTCCTCCCACAAATGGCTCTCCATTGCTAGCTGAGATAAGCATCCAAAGGCTCTGAACACAAGTGAAACTGAGAGGACCCAATACAGGTGCTAAAGTAACTATGATAATGGCTTTCTCATCCCAAAAAAGGTAATGACTCAACATGAGTACCAGCAATTGCTCTGTAAGTTTCACAGGTGATGCTGTGAGACTGTATATGAGGGCAAATTAACACAGTGTGTAGAAGGAAGGAAGGTGATATCTGAGCTAATGCCTGCAGATGAGATAGGAGTGATCTAGACAAAAAGAGATTAGATAGAGGAGAGAGGGAAGAGTGTTTTAGGGAGAGGGAACACAACATACACAATTACAAGTAAGAGTGGTCATAACTTTGAAGAAATATAATAAGTGCAGCATGACTCTGTCCGAAATCTGTAGACCGTATGGGTAGTAAAGCAATATTTTCTACCTGTAAGCAAATTCATTTGTTGCAAAAGAGGTATACCAAAAACACTGTGTAGAGACAACCTCCATGGAAGAAAGAAAGCATCTGTATTTGAATGAGGGAAAGAACATAGCTTACCGCCTAACCATCCACAATCCACCAAATATTCTTATTATAATATAATAAGAATAATTAATAAGGATGATAGACAACCATTTGTATTTGGCATAAAAGAGTAATTGTTGTTCATTTTTTTTTTGGTAGTGCCATTATTGAATTAATCATGCCCTTGCTAAATTACTGAAACACGGTGTTATGCTATTGTAGGTGTCCGAATCCTTTGCAGCTGTTTAAGACTGTTTTTATTATGAAATGTCATAACCTTGAAATAGAAAAAATAAAGAATTGATGAAGGTTTGGAGAAAAGGTAACTTTTCTGGCTGTTTCTTTAAAAATGTGTCCTTTTTATGTGCACATGTATTCTTGTTATTCTAGATAGAGGACCAATTGATTGCTTAAGTAATCCCTAAGCAAGACAGATAAAGAATATAATTTGTTCTCCCCAAATTTGGTGGATTGAAGCCAGGAGCATAAGACAATTTAATGTGCTTCATCATGTCACTTAGAAATATAAAACCTGTTAATGTGGAAAGAGAAAGAATCGCCAGTTTCAGGTTAGAGAATTGGACAATGTACACTTCTCAGTCACTGAAATCTCACTGGTTGGTTGGTCGTTTGCTGTTTACCATAGAAATTCAATGTGACAACTTAAAATAGTTTGGAAATTTGGTGTAAGTATCCTGTTTTAGAAGTGATCTGTTCAGTCCATTTATTCCTGCAACGCTACTAAACTAATTCTACAGAATAAACTCCCTTGAGTAATTCCCAATTCTCTAAATGGCCCCCAAAATTCCTTATTATGATGATTGCAGCATTACTTTGTAAAATGTCCATAGTGTTTCTCCATGGGTGAAATGCCATATAATAAGAAAAAAAAATCCTTAAGAACTAAGGTCATGCCTTGCTGAATCAACTTTGGTACTAGTCTCAAAACAGTGGTTACTTTTTCATTGTTGATTATGAAGTTGGCAAAATAACTTGATCTTTTGTTCATCCACTGGGTATTAATGCATAGCAAACAGCATAATTATATTAGTAAAAATTCCATAAGCTTCAGCATATCTTTCTAGAGAAGTTAAACACTGTGGTCATTATGAACAAAATTGACTGAGATTCCTTGGCTGATGCTAGAATAATGTCTGATGACATCAGTGGCATTTTAGCCATCCTGTTGTTGCAAAGTGACAGCCTTTTAATGGCAAGCAAAAACAAGACAGCTCTGCCCAGTGGTATTTTCCTATATTCAAAAGGCCCGTCTACTCTCACAGCTCATCATTACATGGATTTAGATGGAAAATGAATCCTATCTCATCCCTCAAAAGAGAATTATATAACCATATTGCAATATATCTGGCATATAAGGCTGCTGTTATGTTTTCTCTAACCAGTATTATAAAGCTGTTCTTGGTTGGGCACAGTGGCTAAAGCCTGTAATCCCAGCACTTTGGGAGGCCAAGGAGGGCCAAACACCTAAGGTTAGGAGTTCAAGACCAGCCTGGCCAACATGGTGAAATCTCATCTCTATAAAAATGCAAAAATTACCTGGGCATGATGGTGGATGCCTGTAATCTCACCTACTCAAGAGGTTGAGGCAGGAGAATCACTTGAACTTGAGAGGTGGAGGTGGCAACGAGCCAAGATTGTGCCATTGCACTCCAGCCTGAGCAGCAGAGCAAAACTCCTTCTCAAAAAAAAAAAAAGCTGTATACTCTACTAGTGGAATATATTCATTCTGTGCCTTCGAAACTGAAAGTTCCTGGTACAGAGTTTGCTCTTAGAACCATTGTGGGGGTTTGTGGAGGGCTAATTCTGAGCAAACTTAGAAAGTGCATAGCTGGAGGTCAAAATAGTACCTTTATTCCGGTTAGATGGGAGAAGGTTGCCTTAGGTCTGGTAGCCAAGTGGTTCTTCTCTGAATTCAACTCACCACTCTGTGACAGACAGCACTGGAAACCAGGGAGTTTCTGGTGAGGACAAGGCCTTCTCTGCTAAGTGAACTGCCAGGTCAGGAGAGCGTAAGTCCTTTGCCAGAGAACCAGGAAGCAGTTGAGCCAGGTGGGCTCAGTTCCTCCTCCCAGGTTCATCATTGATCAGGTAAATCAGCTTCACCCCTGAGGAGAAGAGAGAGGGAAAAGACTATTTAGCTTTGCCATGAGGCTTCCATCCACAGGAAAACATGAAGCCAGGGACAGGACCCTTCCCCATTTCCCCAGTACCCGGGAGATCAAAAAGGCTGCCTTAAAGATTTTTTGTACCTTTTATAACTTATCATGCTATGTCGTTACGACCTACAACAAGATACAGGTTTTCTTGGCCATTTAATCAGAGCAGTTTTCAGTACCCTGTACTGTAATTCTGGAAATGCTTAAAAAGCATCTCTCGCTCACTTCATCCAGTCAATGATGCCCTGGTGCCCTCAGGATAAAATTGAAACCAGTGGCATTCAATCTAGTGCTCTCCTGCCTAATGTCACCTGCTGCCTCTTCCATTCCCACCTGCACCCTACCCTTCAGCCTCCCTGGATGACTCACAGGGATGGGCTCCAGGTTGTGTTTCTGGGGAGGCTTTGCACAAATGGCTTCTTCTGTCTTTGGCACAAATGAAATCACTGCCATTGTTACACCAGTTTTGTAAATAAGGAATTTGGCACCCGATACATTACTTGCCCAGGGTCACACTGAATCCTGGAGCTGAGAACTAAACCCAGCTTTGTATAATTGATGGGATGAGCTCTTTACCTCTGAGTTATAGCCTCTGAATTTAAAGCAGCTCTAACACATTCTGGAACAGTAGGCCCTTAATCAATATTTGTCTACCTCACCCCAAAAAGAAAATAATTTTATTAGCCTTAGTGATTCATAAATAATTTTGTTAGCTCTAGTGATTTGTAAATGAAGAGGTGATTAATCCATTCCATATGCATACTTTGCGTTTGATACAAAAATAAATGTAATAGTTTTTTTCTACTGTTAGAATTTTTGGTATAACTTTGGTAATATTTAAGAATACTCAAAACTTGCAAACAATAATAGGAACATCCCACATCTTCTAGATTTTACAAGTTTAAGTTGCATTTGATGTACTTTCTCCTAACATGGAGGTTTTTCTAGGAAATACGTTTTCAGCATATCAAGAAAACGTGTTGTCTCTTGAATTTGTCTCTTGAGTTGTCTCTAAGAGTTTCACACTAGTCATGACATAATTTAAATAATAAAACTGCTGGGAAAATGGAAACCAATGTAGCTGAATAAACAGAGCTAATCAATGCCATTGTGTTTCTAGAATGAAGTTTATTTAATTTGTTTTTATTATAAAAATTTCATTTTTATTGTGTAAAATTTGGGAAGTACTTAAAAGCGTAAAAGAAAATATCCACAATCATATTTCCCACACATGGCTTTCACTGGTATTTTGGTATGAATTTTTATTTTTATTTATTTATTTTGCCTTTGTCTCATCATTGAGATCAGTCTGTATATAGGATTTTCAATTTGCCATACACTTTGAATTTTATTATGTGCATTTTCTTTGTTACTAGAAAAAAAAAACATTTAGACAGCAATGCAATGGCTATTTATCATTCCACTCTGAGGATGCTTCATTATTTACTAATCATTTCCCTATTGTTGGATATTTTCTTATATCCAAGTTTTTGCCACTGTAAATAACATAATATTGATCACTATGAGAGCATCAGATACAAAACTTTCTTTACTTAGGATAACTTCCTTGGTCTGTGTTTCACAAGCCTGAATTACTAAATCAGTGAGCTTTATGTTACAAAGACTTCTAATACATGTTGTCCATTTACTCTATATAAAAAGTAGTTGTTAGTTTACATTCATGCTAGCCGTCTAGCTCCTTTAGTCTCTCTCTCTTTTTTTTAAGTCTACAATTAGAAAATGAAATATAAGAAAGCAAAACAAATACAAACCCTTCCTAGGAAAATTCCAATCTGCTATTTTGTGAAGAGCCTAAAGTTAAACTGTTTTCCACATGATCCGCATTCCATGTGTCTTTCCTTAGCAGATAGCATTTGCTGTGATTTCAAGGTTGGGATAAGGGAGTCTCTGGCATGAATCTCTCTGATACACTCTTAAGTAAGAACTGATCTTTGCAGGCCTACGTGAAATTGTCAAGCATGGAGGAAGGAATAAGAATTCGATGGGCACATCTTGTCAATAATTTATTCTTTAACTTTTCTCTTTTTGTCTCATGATTCTCTGCTCTGCACACTTTCAATTTCAAACACTCTTAGTTGGGTGAAAAATAAAATATTTTTATTTTTACAAAATAAAAATAAAACTCTAAACATTCATAATAGCCAAGCCATAGTCCCAGAGGAATGCATAATGTAATAGTAGGTCCCAAAGATGTGTGTTTGTGTCTGTATGTCTGAAAGCATGGTGTGTGTGTCTGTGTATGTGTGTGTGAGTGTAGAATAATGTTTGTCTATGGATGAGTGTGAATGAACGGCATATGTGTGTGTGTGATGTGTGTGAGAGAAGGAATGTGAAGAAGTGGTACATGTCTGTTTGTGTGTTTATGTGAAGGAGTATGGCAGATGTGGACCAGGCTGAAATAAGGGAGCAGGTAAAAAGATGAGATATAACACATACAACATATAAATTGGAGTGAAAGTATGTGATCTTTTAGAAACTAGTTCAAATGTAAAATTTTGACATGGTTCTTCATCAGGAATTTCTTCACCTTTTATTTGAAATGCAGTAGATCTGATGCAATGACACTAGCTACTACATTTGCCTTTTCATAAAGTTTTTCTCCAAACAGATTGTATTCTTGAGAAGTGTCATTTAACCATGTTTGCAAAATCACCTGTGCAGGACATGGAGAAAGATATGGTTGTTTGAGGATTTTAATGGAAAAATCACAAAAGTGCATTTGACAGTGTGTCCATGCTCATTGTTTTGTATGTAAACCAATGAGAGTGTCCCACTAGCCTATGTATATTATACAGATATCTATATCTATATCTGTATAGAGAGAGTTGTAACAGATTTCTGAGTTGTTCACCTTGAGGAACAGAATAAGCTTAAGTTTCCCTTATATTTAGTATCTAAAAGAACAGTGGACTTTTTGTCCTATAATTTAAAAATAATTCTAGTTGTCTATACATTAAACATTTTTTTTATTCTCACTTAGAATAATAACACTTTGTCTGGTTAGCTGCATTTTTAGCACATGTGAAAAACTTCATGTCATCGGAGCATTTCTGTGACTTTCAGGCGTGGGTGAAATCTACCTGATATTTTAGTATCCAAATTAGGATCTGAGTGATCACACCTGAAGCTTTTTTCATCGAGTTCCATCTCCTCATGCTCTGCCTTCTGCATTGTCTTCTGAGTCTTAAGTTTGTTTCTGTCTTCAAGTTTACTTTTACACCAACTAAAATATTAAATCATATTCTTAGTTGGGACAACTACTATATCATAAGCTGGAAAACTTTGAAGATGCTTCACTTTGTGGTGGATATGAGTTGTATATGTTATATTACATACATTGAATATAATGTATTGTTGTATATAAGATACAAGATTATATATTATGTATATAATATAATAATACATAATGTTATATATTATTTGTTTTATATATAGTTATATGTATAATATATAGAGATATATATAAATCTCAAGACTCTTGGTGGATGCCTGTAGCTACAGATAGTACCAAACCCTCTATGTACGATTTTTTTCTTATACAAGCATACCTATAATAAAGAGTAATTTATAAATTAGACACAATAAGAAATTAACAACAATAACAAAATAGAACAATGAAAATAATACACTATAATAAAAGTTTATGGATGTGGTCTCCTCTTTTATTCTCAAAATATCATGCTGTACTATACTCACCCTTTTCCTTGTGATGATGTGAAATGATAAAATCTCTATGTCATGAGATAAAGCAATGCATAGTTATAGGCACTGTGATGTAAATCAGCAATTTCAGAAATAAACAATTCATAAATTCTACATTGTGCCACATTCTGAGTAGTGTGATGAAATCTTGGGCCATCTTGCTCCATCCCACGTGGGACATGAATCATCCTGGAGAAGCAGATCCAGGCTGTCTGCCCTCCCTGCCCATGACTCACTTAGCAGCCATCTCTATTATCAGATGGACCATCATGTTGCTGCAGTGCTTGTGTTCAATTAACCTTTCTTTGACTTAATCATGACCCCAAAGCACACAAGTAGTGATGTCATATTTTTGGACCCCAATTGACCACAGGTAAGTAAAACTGCAGAAAACAAAATTGTGCATAAGGGTAGACCACTGTACTTGGTTGTATTATAGAAGGGTAGTTTTCGTTGTCTTATTCTTATAGCCTAGATAAAAAGCAATGGCTTAACAAAATAGTACCAGATAAAATGGATATGATCATGTGCCTGGCTAAGCTCAAAACGTAGTAAAATGTTTGTAATTAATAAGGCTAATTGACCACATGGAGTCTGAAAATTAATTTCCTTTGTACTGGGGAGGATGCAGAGGGATGGGGTGAACCTCACAAATCTCCTTGCAGGGCACATAACTAAATCGTATTCTAACCCTGAATAATCCCCAAACACTCCCTCCAATACCCGCCAGCCACTAGGAAGTTGTGCCTTCCCCAGGGCAGTTCCTGCATATTCTTTTCCCTATGCCCAAGCCTAATACCTCTCTGCCTGAAATATGAACCCCTCCCCTAAATTCCACCTTTTCCTTTTGGACCTAACGCTCCACTTGACTGGGTCTTCTCCAAAAAATCCATGGCTCTCCCCATTGTGATGCCAACAGCTCTCATCTACTGTATTGTAAATATTTCTTTACATGCTAATGAAACTCTAAGAAACTCAAGGAGGATCTCATAACAACAACAAGTACTAGGTTTAATTCTTCTTTCTTCTAATACCTAACACTAGGTCTGGAAAACAATAGCTAATAAACAGTAGCTGAATGAATGATGAAAAAATAAATAACCTTGAGTTAACCATTGTATCTTTAAGAAATTATTATAATAGTAACAGCAAGGAGATAACTAGTACAGTTTTACTAAGTTTAGAAAGCCTTGGAAGGTTAAACTTCATGAAAGCAGTAGTCCTAC